TTACAAAAATGAAAGACATTAAGAGCATTAAGAAACATATTATAAAATGGTATTTAAAAACACTCATTTAAAAGCAAAGATAATAAAACATGAATAACAAAGGTACATGAATTAAAGTTACAGTGCAGTGAGATACACACATCTGAAATGTTTAGCTCAGTTTTCTTTGACCTTACTTTCTTTCTACTTTCTTTTTTAACTTATCCTTTAGTAATTTCAAGTGTATCATGCTAAACAAACCCCCCTTTTGAAAATTCTAATCTGCAACCCAATATGCTGAAAATTCAATGGATCCTGGCCATATTTGTGTAGCATATACAATTAATTTGACATTCATGTGGCTTGCTAGTTTTGGACCCCATCTGTAGTCAAAAAGTCACCACTTAAGGTCCTTTCAGTATTTCTACTAATCACTTAAGGATACAATAGTGACTTTTGACTTCCTGTTTGATAGGAGCGTCCTCCTAATAGAGGCTAAAAGTGTGCCCCTGTCCTGTGATACAGGCGTATGAATGACTTTTACTCATCCCTTCATTACCCCATCATTTGGTTTCATGACATCATTCAGCAGATAAATCACCATCCAGGTATGTTGAGCTATATATATTGAGGCTACCAGCAGTCAGTGAGAGTTCCCCGTCCTGCCCAAATCGTCCGTCAGGTCCCAGAGAGTCAACTCTAACATAAATGACTGTCAGGAAACTTCAGAAGTCTTCTTGACATTTTTCAGGTACATTTTGTTCCTTTCTGAGGATTCCAGTTGTTATCTGATGGCGGCTGCTTCAATCCCGTTTAATAGCTGGTTGTTAAACGCTGTGAACTCCAACATGGCTGCTGGTTTTTCTTTGAATTCAGCTGCACACCGATTTTACAGACCTGAGGCGCATACGTCACTGCATAAAAACGTATTTTATGGTTTGTTTCATCAGGTGGTGAACTTGAGCCCAGTTTCTCACATATCTGGATACCTTCAGACCTTGTTAACTCCATCACATTGAATGTTACCAATTCCAAGAATCAAGTGTGCATTTTGGGACATCAGACACATGATCTTTTTCTAGAATTTGGAATACCTATGTTGTAAATTCATTATATTTTTAATTTACACACGTCTATTGCTCTCCTTGAGGTTTCTTCCCATTTTTCTCCATTAACTGTGGGGTTTCTTTGGAAGTTTTTCCTTGTCCTATTTGGGGGTCAAAGGACAGAGGGTGTCGTATAAATATATATTCATATTCTGAGTGTAAAGCCCCCTGAGACATGTAAAACGTTTGATATTGGGCTATATAAATAAACTTTGATTGATTGATTGAGAGTAACACCATATTTTTAAATCAATATGCGTACTTCAGGTTTGTGTTGCTTACCCTCCCCTAGCTGGGTCGAATCACGGACGAATAGTGGATTTCTGATTCTGAAATCACTGTTTTAAATACAGCATGGATAAGAAAGCACGATTGAGTGAACTAGCTCAGGTTCTATTAACAGACGCCTTGTCTTTATAAACATAGTATATGTTCCAGTTGGTTCTGCCTAGTTTAACTCCTTGTATGGCGGCAGTAATATTTTACGAGGTTCTTGACCTTTAGAGACGGTGATACGGTCTGTCAGTGTCACCTGTTGACAGTGGGGTGTTGTATTTGTCTCTGTTGATCATGGTGATGATGTCGGAGCGATAAAAGTGTATTTTATTCTTGTTGATAATGTCCTTGTTATTCTACTTGACTACAGTCTCCAAACAAAACAGTCAGGGCCATTACAAATCTACTTTACCGCACACTTGCTTCATTATACAACTGATAGTTTTATGATGAATGCATTCGTGTTTGAAAAATTCAACAGGTTTCTTTGCATACATCGAACGGCATACATCTTGATGAGGTTGTTAATGGTAATCAAAACAGAAACAGATGCTTTATGATCTGCTGGGATTTCAAGAATCTGAGATTGAAAGACTCACTTTCCAAGCCCTTGCCCACCCCACCTGTATTCTTTTAAACCTAAGGGTCATAAGGGTTGCTGTAAGGAGAAAGAAACCAGGATTTTTAAATATGTCAGCGACAAAAGCCAAAGCACTACACAGTTTGACTGGTGCAAAGATGATATATTTTGTAAGCCGACCAGGAGGTTAGCATCGAAAGGGCTCCCTCAACAAAAAGTAATTTTCCATTGGATTTTAGAATATTGCAAAAATACAATCTGTGACAAAGACACGCTTATGCTACTTAGACGTTTTACTCAGCAGGATAATCTCCACATATTTACACCACTTAATGATTTCGAAGCATAAACACAATCGCTAACGTAGCTAAACGGTAAGCTAAAGGCGGCTAATGTTCAGCATGATGACATGTACTAGTATCATTTAGTTACTTGTTAGCAGCAGTCGTTTTTATGACACATGAAAGCTTCGGACATTCACCAGTGGGGTTTATGCTCACGTATTTTATGTCCTATAAGGAAACGTGAAAATCCCTTCATCTTGTGTTAACCACAGACATAATCCAACATGTTCAAAAACTGTTGACTTTGAGACTAAGAAACCCGAAGTGGTAAAAATGCAAAGTCATTTCTTGGTTTTAGGACTCATTCCTGTACTTCTAATTAAAAATGATAATAGTTTGAGAGGTTTTTTATTATTATTATCATTATTTTTGAGAGGTCGTTGATAATATTATTATTACGTTATTTTGAAGTCCTCATTATTAAGAATACATCATTATTACAATAACATTTCTTTGAAGGTTAATTATTATTATTATTATTAATATTACTTATATAATGGTGTCCTTGGGCAAGACACTTCACCCTAATTTGCTCCTGTGGGTATTGTCCAGAGTGATAACTGTTACATGTCTAATATGTGTAATTGTAGAGCGCTTTGAGTGCCTTGAAAAGCGCTCTAATAAAATGTTCATGAATTGTTATTATTATTATTATTATTATTATTATTATTATTATTATTCTCTTCTGCTTGCATCAGTTACAGGTCCAGGTAACTTAATGGAGACTGGAGGTGTACAGCATCTGGTAAACACCAGCTTTATGACGACTCTTTAAAACACATGTGAGAAAAGTTAACACACACTTTTCCTGTCAGTTTCCAATGAGTTTTTCCAGTCTGATTGCGCATAAACACCAAACACAGTCTTTCAATCACAACTTTGGATCTATGACTTTTATGGGAGACATTCCAAAAAATATTGTGTTTGCATTACATCACCTTACTGGTCGCTAACCTCTCCTCCTGAGGAACATCAGGCCAGTGGAGTCACATCAGCAAACAATAACTTAACATCGTGTACTGGTGCAGAAATATGAGGAGAATGAGATACATCAGTGTTCAAATCTGCAGGCATTTGATGATTACGTCTATAATTCTTCTGGTTTTGACATCCCAGAATGTGCCTTCAAAATATACGAGTTATCCTTCACTTGCGGTTCTGTTAATGATGACTTTGTGCTAAAGGCCTTCAGAAAAAGATGATAAATTAAGAATTGAGGAACAATTACAAGACCACAGTTGATTTGTGTTTAGGTACATCTTGCTCTCAAAGATTCATGGCAGTAAATATTCGTATCGGGTTCGCACTCATAACTCTTTCTGGAGGAACAGAGTGGGATTGTGTAATCCTCTAACTTCTACAGCCGAGCAATGTTCAAATAGTACATATCTCACATTTTCCAAACACATCCAAACTTAAAGCAGCTATGATTTATCTTTTCAAATATCAATGTGAAAGTGGATACTCAATGATTTCCAGCTTTACAGAACAGAGAGGTTTATCAAAGGTCAAAATGGCTGAGGCAAGCTGCAGGTTAGCACCTATCTGTCGCTAAAGGTGGCCATATCTTAAATAATGTGACATTAAGCCTTAATATTATAAGTTAGTTACTACAGTATACTTCATATATCTGGAACAATCTTCCAGAAAACAGCCGGTCTAGTGCAACTCTCACTTCTTTTAAATCCAGGCTAAGGATTCTCTGTATTCCTTTATTAAAGTGGACCTATCATGCTATATTTGAATAATATAGTGTAGGACCATACCTATATAAGGCATATTTATACTTTTTTTTTTTCAAAATACCAAACAGATCATGCATTTTAGCCATGCCTCATTTTGCTCAATTTGAAATTTTTTGGCTCTGTTTTTGTAAGGGCAGATAAGGGCAGAACAGCACCACCTACAGGCCTGGCATATGTACTACAGCGTCTCCAGCGCTTTCGAACGGCAATGGCCGTGGCTGTCTCCTCCTGATTGGTGGAGTTGGCCCAATAGCCGTAGCGCCACTTTCCTGACGTCAGGACAGTGTTCAAATCTGGATCAGTTTTTATCAGATCCGTTGCAGCCCCTTTTTTAGAGATTTGGGTATGGAGGAAAATAGAGAGGGTTGTGTTTTCTGACACTTGGTGAGTTCCCTGGAACACCGGGGATACATATTCATGTATAAAAGACGTACAAAAGTGCATTTTGCATGAAAGGTCCCCTTTAAATGAAATAACTATTAATATCGTTCACTGCACTGTAACTTTTGTACTCTTGTATTTTATACCTGTAGTATCAGCCTGTTTAAAGGGGCTCTATTGTGCTCATTTTCTGGTTCATATTTGTATTTTCTTACTGCGACATGTTTCTTTAATGTTCAAAAAGGTCTGTATTTTTCTGATATATATAGACAAACAGTTTTTTGTACCAAGTTGTACATTTCTGCTATACAGTTAAGCATGATAAATTACAGGTTTATGTGAATTGACTCATTTTTGGCTTAGTGTTTCCATTTGAGGAACTCCAGTTGCACCGCTCGTCCAGAAACAGCTAAAAGAGAGTGAGTACTGGACTGACATTTGATCATTTCACAATGTTGTGATTGCTCTCTGCTGCAACAACTGGTTTCAGAACATGTTGGAATAAGCACGTTTATATACTGTATATGATTGTGAAATAAATGTGTCATGAATATCAACACTACAGAAGAAATTCAGTTCAATCTGCAAAGTAGTTTCACAAGAGCAACATTTATTAAAATCAATGATATTTTGTTCTCGCGAGCATTTGACATCAAATTTACACAATATACAGATGGTGCATTTTGTAGCAAATATACTTTCTATAGAGACAGCAGCAGCAGAATTGGCATGTACAAAAATACACATTTGATTTTCTCACACAACAAAACATACCAAAGTATCAGGATAAGATTTCATATATATATTTATATATTTCTGTATCATAAATATAGCAGAATTATACAAGTTAAACAGAATTCACTGTAATGGAGATAACATGTAAAATATTAATACAGGATAAAGTACATTTTGAGATCATTTAAAGTGGTACCGCTTAACATGACCTTATTGCAGTGTGTGTCCTTAGGGAAAGCTATGATGAGCTCATAACAACACTGGGTTTAAACTTGTGAAAACTGCTCCTATATTGTGCTATGAATATTTATTTGTAAGTATGAATTTACATACTTTCTGTTGATGAATGCACAGTGAAATAAGGTCATTTATTGTTAAGTGACACCCTAGAAATCATCGCAACGACTGCAGCACTGGAACAAAAATATTATACAATTATGGACAAACCATACAACAGTTAAAAGATACGTGTGGAGTATTAACACACACACACACACACACACACACACACACACACACTGTATCCTTGTCATTCTGGTGAGACTGAAAAGGTTTCTTTATAGAATAATGAAGTGCCATACAAGCAAGAATAAAAACACATTTCTCCTTCAATGGCACGCATTTTCTCACATTCCTGCTCAGGACACAGTTTCAATGAACACACCATTTGCAACAACATATTGACACACACACACACACACACACACACACACACACACACACACACACACACACACACACACACACACACACACACACACACACACACACACACACACACACCTCCTCTTCTTCCTCCTCCCTCCCTCCTCTGCCCAGGTCACAGAGATATAAACCAGAGCTGCAGGACAACACTGTGTGCTGTGTGTCTGGAAACTCGGCTCACATGAATAAATACCGGCCCTATTGATTCACTGATTCACACGGACAAGCGCTTCACTCACTGGGGGAAAGGGTTCCACTTTACAGAGACAATTTGTCATAAAAGATACAAATTTGAAGGTGTTTTCAAATGGGTACAGGGTTGGTAATTCTCTAAAACGTTGTGGATGACATGTAAAGTCATTTCATAGTATTTGCATGAAGTCACAGTTGTCATAATGCTCACGTTTATTGCATTTCCTTATAAAAAAAACTTTGATTTGCTTCTTTCTAAACAAGAAAAGTGCGAAGACTACAATAATATACAGTCAAGTTTAAAGTTCCATGAACATTTTGCCAAATTTTAAATCAATTTGATGTGTTTTTCTGTTAAAAACCAAGTCATGGCCATGATTTCCCACCAGTCTCAAGGGGTTTTCTGCTGGCTGGTAAAAAAATGTTTTCATTTGAAAAGCCTCAAGCGAATAAAACAAAACTTCTTTGTCCTTTCTCTTTCATTTCTGAGGAGGTCCTCTTCCTTCATTTCTTTTTAAAAAGCTTCATCACATTCCAAAACAAGGATACACTAAATACTTTTTAGAGGAACCAGATTTCTTTGGTACCCGAGCTGTAACTCTGACTTGTTTTGACAGCAGCTATAACGATTGTTTAGGGACCCAGATGTCCAATGAATCACATCTTGTCTGTATTGAATTCACAGAATCAAGCATTACTGCCTAATAATGAAGCATTGTAGGACCCCTAACTGCAGTGTTACAAAGCAACTTCATCAAATACATGAAAGAGGTATCAAAAATGAATTTAATGGATTATAACCAACGCCTTCAAAGTCTACTGTTGACAGGGAGTCAGAATACATTTGAGTAGTGAACAACCACAAGGAGGCGAACAAGGTTCATCGGTACCTTTTAAAATCTAAAACCTTGACTGTACCACGAACACCTTTTTGTATATGGATGACTACCACTGAAAGGGGTGTATATGGGGGAACATTATCACATCAACAATGAGTTGTTTAAGTGAATTAAACAGATAAAAAACAGTTTCTTATAAACAATCCGTCTGTACAGAGTTCCTTATTTACACGTATGACTCTTCTGCAAAAAAAAGCTGGTCAAAGTCTTCCGCCGGCGGGTCGCTGCAGCGCCTGCTCTGCCAGTCCCTCTTCCCCTGAACGATGGCCAGCGCCACCTCCTGACTCCTCCGCAGGCACGCGTCCGCATCCTCCTCACCCTGCTGCGAGGAAAAGTAGTCCCTTACAGCCCGGGTGGCGGAGGGAGACAGGCAGAAGCGTGGCTCAGCGTGGTTGGGCTCCACCTGTGACACTCTGAGGCTGCCATCTTTGGGCCGAGCCTTAGAGGAGCGAGGTCTGTCCAGAGTGAGGCTGCAGGGGGGAGAGGTCGCTGAGACTTTGGAGGGTTCAGATGCTCGGCGGGGGAGAGGGAGTGTCCTTTGCCCTCTGTGTCCATCGAGGGCTATAGAGTGAGACTTTTGCTTCTTGAGGATCAGGGTCGTGGCGTTCTGTCCGTAGAAAACACCCTGTGGCGGCTGCACGCACTCGTTTCTAGCAGTCCTGTGTGTGACCTCACTTCCTGTGAGTGGTTTGGTGCTGGTGGATCTGTGGGTCGGGTCTTGGAGCTGCCTCAGCTCTCGGACCGTCAGAGGTTTCTCCGTCCCCCTGTAGAAAGGAGAGCGACTGCGCTGCAGCTGCAGTAACGCCTGCTGGTACGACGGAGGGCTGCTGGATCTACGCCCGCAGTTTCGGTTCAGTTCGACCTCCTGAACGTCAGAGCAGCTGTTTCCATTTGTGTCTGTTTTCCCGTTCACTTCAGGCTCCTCTGAGTGTCCATTATCAGATTGCTTTAGTGACAGGCGGCGGTCCTTCTTTAGCCACGTGTTAGGGTGGAGGCCGTGATGGTGAGGGGGCGTTTGATTGGTCCTCGTGCCCTGTGTGGGCCAAAGAGGCGGGGCTTCCCTCTGAGGCGGGGAGTCTCTCGGTGACAGCGGAGGACGTCCAGGAAACAGAGGGGAGAGCGGTGGCGGCGGCTCGGCCAATGGATTTGCCCCATTGCTGGCGTAGTCCGTGGAGTACTGTGAGAAGGCGGAGTCTAACGAGCTGAGGGAGGAGCCTGTGGGTGAGGTCGCCGGTGACGACAGACTGGAGCAGCTGACGTCCAATCGCAGCGGAGGAGGAGGGGCATGTTTCATCTTCCTCCGCCCACCGTTCTGCACTTTGGCTCCTCCTCCCTTCTCACAACCTTCCTCTTCCTCCTCCTTCAGCTGTAGTCCACTCAGCCCCTGCTGCAGAAACACCTCTTCCTCCTCTTCCTCTCTCTCCATGGCAGCGTCGTAGCTCACCTTTCTCACCGTTAGATCTGCGTGCAGCATCAACGTGTCTGATGGAGGAGTGCTGGACAGGGCCAAGGCGGGCTCTGAGCTCCTCCTCAGTCTCCGGGGACCCTGCGACGCCCCGTTTGATTGGCGGGTTCGAGGCTGTCGGACCGCGGGACTGAACCTGCGCGGCCTGGCCAGCGGGGGCAGCTGCAGCAGGTGGTCCGTGTCGGGGTCAGGGTCGGGGTCGCAGTCGCTCAGCGTGATGACAGAGTCTCGACTGCGGCTGTCCGGCTTGTCTTTGTCTCGAAGAGGAAGCTGCTCCTGGAAGGGAGACTCGGGGTCGTCGTTCAGCTCGTTCTCCAGACTGTCGTAGGACGAGTCGTTCATCTGGAAGGACGACACATCTGGGAAGAGATGAGGAGGAGGAAGATGAAGAAACAAAGGGGAGAAGAGAGAAAGATTATTATTATGGAGAAGTCAAATTAAGTTCATGATCATTTCATCTAAAAATAAACAGAAAAACAATAATCTTGCAGACAAAATACAGTCTTACTTAAGTAGTCCTTACAGCTTTTCCAGACATGCCCTTTCATACAAGCATCCTGCAATTTAATCTATTTCCTCCTACTAGCAACTCAAATGAGCAATCCAAGTTCAGACAGACCAAACTACATTGAGTTACACAACAACCTACACAAAGAAAAATAACTGCATCTCCCATAATATGCTTCTCTTTCATGGTAGAAACTAAATACACAAAGCTTTAAAAAAAAGTGGGACGAACTAAAAACATTGCCCCGAGAAGAAGAACAGAGGACAGTGTCGTCCCGCAGTGAGTCTTTGACCTCCCGTGGTTATTTATAGCATCAGGAAGAGAGTTGGTGATATTTATGAATGAAGTGATTCAGCGCTGCGTTAATCAGCACCTCAGCAATCACTGAAATGAGTGGAGGTCAAACTATTGACCCCAATCAGCAGGCCTGAAAGAGCCTCACACTCACTGAGAGCTAGTCAGTGTACAAGCACCTCTCTACAATATTCTGAGGTGCAACACACAGAAGAGTTGATGGGTAAAAAGCACTTTCAGTTAAGGAGCTGATTAGTTTGATTAGGACCTGAACCCCATTAGCACCTATGATCAATCCTTGTTACCGTCTTAGTCTTGCTTAATTTATGCTTCTCATTTTAGGCTTAGACACATAATATCAACATGGAAGATATTACAGGTGCACATATTTGCTTCACAGACCTGTTTGTGCACAAATAAATAATTGTTCCTCTAGTTGCAACTTGGTGTTCATAATGTAATATTGGATATTTCGATCTTGTGCCCACGCTATTTTTGAATATTCTTTTAATCATGATTGATGATCAAGTGGTTAATCAAGCAAATATCGTAAAATGTTCACATTTTTAGACGTTTCTTTGTTGCTGTTTTGTTCGTAATCCATCATCTCCACATGTGTGCAACAGTGCCAGTAAAGGGATGACAGAGCGGAGCTGGGAATTTCTGTAGAAAGCCCCTTCGACAGACTTGGCCCCCATCTCTAAAACACATTTACCAGACTCTTTTCATCTCTCATTCATTCCCTATTCATCTCCTTTCACACCCCTCTGTCTCTCCGTCTCACCTGAGCCGTGGTCACTGCTGCTGCTCTTCTGGCTGAAGCTCCTGAACAGCGAGGTCACGTCTTCTCCCAGCACCATGGTGCAGTTCTCTATGAGGAGGCGGACCAGCTCACACACCTGCAGAGAGAAACAGCGCCTGGTTAGAGACTAAACACTTTGGACCTTTCTTTGCTTTTCCCTGCAGCTGCTGACCGTTCATTTTCATTGTTAAACAGTTGGTTGAAAGTGTAATTAGGTTATTGTTTATGCAGAGCTTCATTTGCTCTTGCAGTTTCTCAGGGATCCAGCTAAAAATCTGCAGGAATTCAGCAAAAATGAACACACACACACACTCATAATCCCCCCCTCCCTGGTGTGCATTTTGATATTGATCAAATGTAGATCTGATGCAAAACGTAAAAAAACATGTGTAGTTGCTTTTTCTGTAGGCTCGAATCATGACTTAGATAGCTGTGTGATTTCAGCCCCAAACTAATTCGAAAGTTGTGATATTTTGTGCGTTTATGTCCCATATTATCATGCTGAGAAATGTTCCTCTTTGTTTGTTTCCACAGATTTCTGACCTTCAAACTACACAAGTATTTGCATTCCTCAGCACCAAGAAAACATCAAAATCCTGCTTCCCGCTCCTGGACAATGTCCTGATGATAATACATGTATTAGCTTTGATTATCACTTGTTCAAATGTTTATTGAATGACCAAGAGACACATCCAATGTTTATAACAGTAGCTTTTCTAAAACGTATCTTATAAGATGATGAATGTTACTTTAAAAATCCTATTTAAGATCAAGTACACGCAATCCCCGCAAAAATGCCATTAAGGGATCAAGACACTTTTTAAATGGCTTTTTTTAAAGAGTTAGTTTAAGTAAAACATGCCGACAATGTCTGTGCTTTCAGGAAATGATCCACAGTTGGAACCTGTCCTCAATCAAATCACTTTACTTGGCGGAAAGCACCATCTTTTAAACTAAACAGACCAAAAACTGACTAAACACATGACGCGCTACGACACAAATAGTCGCCGGGCCACTCAGAGTCATATCCTCCTTGACTTGTGGAAAGTTCCCACTCAAATCTGTCGGTTGAGTTTAATAAATGACTTGTTTTTCCCGCCATCGCTGCATTACTGCGATACTTTGGAAAACACACAGGAGACAAAACACACTTTTCAGGGCCTAACTGTTTGTTTGTTTGCTGGGCCAGATGTCTGTGGTACAGCTGTACAGTGAGGCGTCCATATGTGTTGTATGACTCAGTGTTCAGAAGAAAAAAGTCTGTGAAAAACAGGTTGTTTCTGCTTATTTTCAAGTTAAAAAAGGTCTTAATTTCTAAAAGACAGCAAAGTGGCTCAAATAATAAAGCTTTTACGATTAAAATCAATTCGTATCACTATCTTTTTAAGAATTACGTGCAATTTTCTTTATTCTAGCTACAAGCAAGATTTATATTAAAAACAGGTTGAAGTCAGTTCAGTGCACTGTGGTTTTAGGTCACATTTGAAGACAGGAATACTTCCCAGGCCTAATAATGGACCAGATTGGGGATTAAAATATGAAAGAAACATTTGATTTGACAGATGATGGGAGATGAGAGCTATTACATAACTTAATGAGTCCTACATTTAGTATTCAGGGGAAGTTAATCTGTCATGGCTGTGTAACCAGAGAACAAATGCAACATTAACCTCCAGGTTTTATCCCTACGATTGTTCTTTAAATACCACTTGTGCTACTGACTGCTGTACGAAAGCCTGAGGACACATTTATTACTTGGATTAGGGTAATTCTCAGCTCTTCTGTCCATATCCTGCAGGGATAGTTTCACTTACATAAGAAGCAAATGCATGCACACATGTCTCATCTGTCTGTAACATTCACCACTGCCTCCAACACTTTTAAAGAGGCCTTATTATGCTCGTTCTGAGGCTCATATTTGTATTTTGTGACTTGTGAACTTTGGGATTTTACCCTTTGCAGACCATTTACATGCACACACATCTACTGTATATAACACACTACAGGAAAACGCATAATAGTGCCTCTCTAAAGTATGCAGGTAAATTAACTAAATCTGCTGTGACACGGGTATCTGCACATCTTTCTATACATCATTTTCACTATCCGACTTCAGATACCAATAAGAAACAGGAATTTCAGTGATTCGCTTCAGGTGAGGTTGAATGTAACCAATTATCTTTGGGTGTGAAAAACCTGTTTGTGATTACAGGTGATATATTGTTACCCATTGATCATGTTGCCACTGTGACATCTGTCATCAGCGCACAATGACATTCCTCTGTCTGGTACGCTGAAGAACAGCACATCACCCGACAGGCATTTTAAAGTAAGTGTGTGTTAATCAATCCATAATTACAGGGGATATATAGTGTGTATGTTGGTATGTCCGACTTAAAGAGGCACACTGCTCCTGAGACACACCCAGGCGAAAAGGAAATCACAGTTCTCTCATGAAAGGCCTCGTTCTGCTTTTTTAAGATACTGTCGTTTTTAACACCAATAGGTCTTAAAATAGGGTCTAGCATATAAATTAAGTTCATAACAAATATGCTTTCTTATATGCTTTCCATGCTGAATGTTGACAACAACAAATTATATAGTTATATGTATACATCCTTGGGTCTAATCAAAACAAAACATATAAAACAACACACATAACTTGCATACAAGTTTAAAAGAAAAATGTCAAGACAAAAGTTGCATTACATCGTAGTTGTTCAGATGAATTATGAGTCTTAAAACCTGGCGTATGGTGTTACGACAATTATCTTTGTAATGTGTCTATTGTTTTGACCACTGTCAATCTTTAACCCCCATCAGATTTTTCAGGTTTTTCTTTCAAAGTCTCTCTCTTGATTTCATATTTTCTTATCGACAGTAACGCTCTCTTTCAATAAGGCTCTCCGTCCTCCTTCATCACTCAGTTAGCATTCCTCCCCGTCACTCTGAGAGGAGCTGCTACGTGACACACAGTTACAAAGAGCCTGCAGGCGTCCTTTCACTCATCCATCAACAGCACATTCAGAACAGCTTCTTCTTCTTTTACCCAATGGGATGTTATCTTTAAACTCTCTATCAACTTTGAAATGTCTCTGCCAATTCATAGAACATTTGTGTATATCGTATGAAAGGAGGTTTGGAGTGTGACAGATGTGTGACAGATGTATGTGTGAGTGGTGAATGTCTGAGTATTTCCAAGGTCTTCAGTCAACATCTAACAGACAGAAAACAAATATATGTTTCTTCTACTGTATTATAGAAGAGTCACTTTGATGCGCCGATGAAGATGGCCGCATCGTCTTTGTGCTCCTCTCCAACTTTGCCCATTTTCGTATTTTGTACATATTTCTTTTACTTTTGATTATGTTGCATTGTTGGAGAAGCCTGTGACATAAGATTTTCAACTGCATAATTACTCTGTAGCTATGTCAGATTGACAATAAAGAACCTTGAACCTTGATGAAAAAACAAAGTCAGAGAAAACAAACAGGCTCCAGAGAAAAACAAACCTTCTTTTGAATGATTTGTCTCTCTGTCTCCATCTAAAGTATTACTCAAGCTAAAGCTGTATTTAACTCCTAAACAGCTAAGCCAAAAACATTTAAATCATAAGCTGCTGAAAAGAAGGAGGGAAACGGAGACTAAACTGAATTGGCTTAAACCGAGCGTTCACGTGTCTTCATAGAAAGTTGGAAACCGGCCATCAAACAGCCAGGAGCCTCGCTGGTTTACGTTGGCCGACAGTATGACCGCAAGGAGGGAAATGTTGAATTTTTTTTTTTTTAGAACGCTGCCCCAACGCTCAGGCAGCACACACAAACATGCCGTGTGGGAGGGAAAGTGTTATCAGGGGAGTATGTATGAAATAGATATTTAGGTATTTGTGGGAAGTGCTGGTATTTGTACTGAAATGTGTGTGTGACCGTTTTCAGTAACACACAAAACACACACGTAGCCCCGGGATTCTGTAGGAAATTCTTTGAATGTTTTCTCAATGAACCACAACCACCTCAGAGTACACACATTCACATTTATAAGATAAGCAAACCAGCCACCCACAGAGATAGTGTGCAACTCCAATACTGTAACTTTCCAGAAAGACCACATATTTCAAAACGATTATGATGCTTTGTATGTCTTAGTGACAACATAATGGGCAGGGGGGCTTCCACTGTTGGCTTTGGCTGCAGCCACTGGTGAGGAATTAAGTCATTTTGAGTTAGCCCTGCTTGCCAAGATATGATGGAGAATGAATGATGGAGGAAAGGTTGCTTCACTTTTGAGTTAACTTTAGTTCACAAAAATACAAAATAAGACTATTTTAACTCCAGTTAAACACATTTCCTGGTAGCCTGGTCACAAACGCTAAGTTATGTTTTAAAGAAGCCATATTATTCTCATTTTTGCGCCACTACTGAAACATGTCTCCATGCTTTAATGTTCAAAAAGTGCTTTATTGTTCTCATACTGCCTGTGCTGCAGCCTCTCTTTTCCCCCAAATGGGATACATCTTGATCATTTGTCATTTTTGTTGAGACCAGCAGTCAGATTGCTTGCCTTTGGACAGATGAAGGCTAGCTGTTCACCCAAAAATATCCAACTGAAGAACTTCTTGAATACACTGAGGTGCTACATGTGTGTGTGTGGGTAACTGTGTGTGTGCGTGTATTTGTGTGTTAGAGAGGCTTGCTGAGACCGTGTGTAAACTGAGGAATTTAACATTTCAATGGAATAATAGAAGCAAGCTGCCTCAGCATGAGTGTGTACTTAGCGTGGTGTGTGTGTGTGTGTGTGTGTGTGTGTGTGTGTGTGTGTGTGTGTGTGTGTGTGTGTGTGTGTGTGTGTGTGTGTGTGTGTGTGTGTGTGTGTGTGTGTGTGTGTGAAATCTCAATATCTTGCCTGCCTGTCAAACTCTCGTCTGTCTGGTCACACACACACACACACACACACACACACACAAACACACACACACACACACACACACATTTCCCTGACACAGGTATACTGCGCTGACCTCCACGCAGGAGCTGACCCACTAACACACAGCTGTAACACACACACACACACATTCAACACATCACACACATACACACACGCTCAGTCACGTTCACATGTCATCGCTGACGATCACTCCTGAGCTAGAATCACACATTCTTTGACTCCGCTGAGCTTAAAATCACTGGGATTAGAGCAAGACTTGACAGGAAAAAGGAAAAGCTTAACAGTTTAATGCTGAGTTACTCCCAAGCACACAGGAAAATGTGTGTAACTAGTTTACCACTTAGAGGATTACGTCGCCATTAAAGGGTTAGTTCTTCCAATTTACGAGAAAACATGCTTTCTGCGTACCTCTGGTGGTAACCATGCAGATAGCTTTCAATTCAAATTGTATTTATATAGCCTAATATCACATATTACACATTTCTCAGGGTGCTTTGCAGTTTGTACAGCATGCAATACTGTCTGTCCTTAGCAGAGGGGGTAGAAGTACTCAGATCTTGTACTTAAATACGTAGAAGTACCAGAGTGTAGGAATACTTTGTTACAAGTAAAAGATCCTGCATTCATAATGTTACTCAAGTAAAAGTATTACCATGAAAATATACTGAAAGTACCAAAAGTAAAAGTACTCGTTCTGCAGATTGTGTGTGTGTGTGTGTGTGTGTGTGTGTGTGTGTGTGTGTGTGTGTGTGTGTGTGTGTGTGTGTGTGTGTGTGTGTGTGTGTGTGTGTGTGTGTGTGTGTGTGTGTGTGTGTGTGTGTGTGTGTGTGTTCCTCCTCACCTTTTTGGTGCCCTCCCCCTCCATCTCGGGGGTGCTCGGCGCTGGAGCCCCAAGCATGCTGGGAGCGATGCAGACGGACAGGTTGAAGGCGTTCATCTGGTTGTCGTGGGCGTTGCCTTGGATACAGTGCAGCACGGCGATCACATGACGCAGCAGCAGCAGGTTGTCGCTGGGCAGGAGCTGCAGCAACCTTAAGGGGAAAGGAAGTAAGGACAGAAAGTAAGGAGAGAAGGTTAAGATGGTACGAGATGTAATACATGGGAATGTAATGACTAGAGCGATCCTTAAACACTTCTTGTTCTCACTGTGTGTGTGTGTGTGTGTGTGCGTGCGTGCGTGCGTGCGTGCGTGCGTGCGTGCGTGCGTGCGTGCGTGCGTGCGTGCGTGCGTGTGTGTGTGTGTGTGCGTTGGCTGGTCTCCACAGGAATTTCTACACAAACATTTTCAAAGTTGCTTTAATGTTACTTGTTTTTTGTTTTCCTAAGCAAAAGGAATGCAGCTTGTTACATCTGGAACTGACTTGTCCTCTTTCCCTGTCTTTCTTTTCCCCTCTAGAAAAAGCAGTGTGTAATTGAAAGGAAAAGCCACATTTATTAATTTAACCTGTCACAAATAACGCACGTCTGTATGACTTGTTGTGTCCGTTTGTGCTCGACATAAAACACACAGTATTATTTTGTGTATTAAACTTTGAATAAGCATCAGAGTGCATCCAGAAGAGATCTTACCTTTGGACAGCTTGCGTCCTCTCCTCTCCCGCCTCCCCCTCCATCACATCCATCCACTGCTCGTACAGATCCACACACAGCAGGCTGCCCGGGATGTTTCTCAGGAAGTCCTGGATGCAAACATAAAAAGAGATTTCGAGATCAATTATCAAGAACTGAGGTAATCATTTAGTCTCTAAAATGCATTGCCTGCCTTGCCATTGCACAGCTTGCATCTTTCCATGTGAACATTATATATAAAAGACCTGCATACTGCTGGTTTATTTCCTCCTTAATGCATGCCACAATCAGAGCAACTCTCCTTGAGTACATGAACACAAGTTCAGATGTGCCTAAAGAAATGTTAAATCTATGTTTTAAGTGCCACAGAAATTAGGCCACCTGGTCCATAAGCACCTCGAGGAATTCACAGAAATAGCCATCAAGGTTATAAGGTCAAAAAGGGAAGAAAGCAAGCTGTCAAAAGCATAGAAAATGGAAACTAGGGCAAAAATATAGTTCATCCTGAGGGTATAACCCAAAAAAGGTTCATATATATTCTAATATTTTCATTTCAGGAACTCTGTTTAACATAATCCTATTGTTGATATATTTATTTTCAATTACATTTGTATTGTTATTATCTCATAATTACCTGTCCTATCCTATATTTCACTCTCATACAGTAGCTGTAGCTGCTTTGACACCTGACTTTCCCTGCAGGGATTAATAAAGTGTTATCTTACCTTGTCTAAATACCGTTATTCATTGAGAACATGTATCCAGTTTCCTGGGGCTTTACTTGAGAAATAACTTCAACAATTTAGTTTTTGGCATCAGGACATGTCCTTTCAATGCACTAATTGTTTAACAAAGGACAATCCGTGTCCAGGTGAAGTCCAGCAGGGCAGTGAGATGAATCAGCGCTGTGTTAAAGCCCATGCTGTGTGTGTGTGTGTGTGTGTGTGTGTGTGTGTGTGTGTGTGTGTGTGTGTGTGTGTGTGTGTGTGTGTGTGTGTGTGTGTGTGTGTGTGTGTGTGTGTGTGTGTGTGTGTGTGTGTGTGTGTGTGTGTGTGTGGATGCTGAACAATGTGGCACCTTGTGTATTTGCCTGGCAGCTCTGCAGAGACAGATTATCCTGTCTGGACTTCTGTGACTTTGGACGCACATCAGTCGCTCCTCCTGCTCTCTGTTGTCTGCTTTCAAACCAGTGTGACGTGGCTGTGTGTGTGTGTGTGTGTGTGTGTGTGTGTGTGTGTGTGTGTGTGTGTGTGTGTGTGTGTGTGTGTGTGTGTGTGTGTGTGTGTGTGCGTGCGTGCGTGCGTGCGTGCGTGCGTGCGTGCGTGCGTGCGTGCGTGCGTGCGTGCGTGCGTGTGCGTTACCTTGAGGACAGCAGCGATGACGAACACAGACTGGTGTGTGATCTCGGGGTCTTCGCTCCCACTGTCCACTCGGTCCCTCAGCTCCCGGCAGGCTTTGGCCCCGGCGGACCTCCTGAAGATGCCCCGTGTGTACGGCCCCTCGAGGAACAGGAACACCAACATGTCCTGCAGGGATCACATCATCCTTTTAGTAATGTTCTGAATATTTTCGAACAAGACAGAGAAATTCTCTCAAAGCACAAATGCTCTTTGCTCCTAATACCATGTAATGCTTAAGGGATTATTTGCTCAGAAAGTCCAGCAATGTTTTAAACCAAAGGAAATTAAAGGATTTACGGACTAAGGGAATTTAGCTTTTCAGACCCAGCTGTTTGTTTTTACATTTTTTATTTCCTAGAATCTGATAATTTTTTTGCAAATAAAATGAATCTTTCATTTCTGCCACATCAAATGGGTTTTATTAGAGCATTATTAGAGAATAGGAGCTCAGTGAATACCACAGTAACAGGGTTAGTCAATGATTATTCTTGTGGATTTGGATAGTTGTGTCCCCTAAATGTATTCATTTCTGTCATTTGGATATCTCAAGAAAAAGACTGGAAACATGAGCGTGCAATTTTTTGTATTTACTCGCAAGAATCAGAGGATTATGTAAAATATTGTGGAACAAGGATCCAATTACCAAGTCAGAAACTAACTAGCAATGTAGACTCAGTGAGGTCCTTTCTAAAAGGTTTCACCACATGATCAGAGGGGAAACATTTTTTGTTAAGTGTAGAAATGTTGCTTATTCAACAGATTGGGATTTCACTTCTCATGCAACCCAAGTTTGTCAATTCTTTCTTTAATTTAAGGGGTCATTACCAACAAAACAGTAATCTAACAATTACATAAAGTAATGAAAGCAAACCCTCTACTTGTCCATATGTCTAGATAGAGGTGGGAAATAACTAAGTGCATTTACTCAAGTACACTACATTTATTTTGTACCTAGCAGATTTGTATTAATAATGTGAAATATAATCAAGTGTTAAATCAGACTTTAGTTCCACGTGGAGTAAATTCACAAGCTACCCTGCAGTATACAAAGTCATTCAAACTAGCTGCACCTTTACCAGCTTTGAGAACACTTTCATGATCAATCATTATAAACATATCATATATATTATTCTGAAATGGACCAATCTGCACAATCACTACTTTTACTGTCGCTACTTTAACTATATTTTGATGCTAATACTTTTCTACTTTTACTTGAGTAACATTTTGAATGCAGGACTTTTCCTGAAACAGAGTATTCCTACACTCTGGTACTTCTACTTTTACTTAAGTACAATAACCGAGTACTTCTTCCACCTCTGCTAAGGACAGACAGTATGATATGCTGTACACACTGCAAAGCACACTGAGAAAATGTATAATGTGCGATATTGAATTTTAAGCTATCTTGGGAGAACTAACCCTTTAATGGCGACGTAATCCTCTAAGTGGTAAAATAGTTACACACATTTTCCTGAGTGCTTGGGAGTAAGTCAGCAAGAAACTGTTAAGCTTTTCCTCTTTCCTGTCAACTTTTACTTGTAACACAGTATTCCTACTCTCTGGTACTTCTACTTTCACTCAAGTACAAGATCTGAGTACATCTCCCTTTCCCTAAATACACTCTGACCCCTCCAGACGGGACCCTGACCTCTCCCTCTGGCCTCACGTGACCCTGACTCGACTCACCATGACAGGCTTGGGCAGGCCGTGGTCTGGAGAGCAGACGGAGCTCAGGGGGCGCCCGAACAGACGACCCTGAGTTGGGGAGAGGGAGGTGGGGGAGAGGGGGAGGCCGTCCAGCTGCGTGTTGGAGCCTCTCCAGAAAGGCCAGTTGATCAGAGACCTCTTCCTCTTAAAGGACTTCTGCTGACCAGGCTCTGTGGGGGGGAGAAGAGGAAGAGGTGGTTTCAGACACCATAAGATTGCTGCTGCTTGAGTAATGCATGTGGAAGTCACCACGTCCGCTAATGCTCGGTGGTTACCAAACTGCAAATGTAAAGGTTTCGTTTTAGAGATCTGGGGTTACGTATTCGAACAGAGGAGGTTAGGTTAGAGTAGAGTAGAGTAGGTGGTGAATTGTTTCGCAGTAAGACTAGGTGTCCCATATTTTAGACTTTTTCAGCATGCTCATGAATACTTGGTCTGTCCACTAAACTTTGACCACATTTTCACACACTTAAAACATGTAGGTGGGATAGAGAAAGACACCAATAAGACGGGGACAGAAAGACAGAGGAAGAAAGAACCATTGACTCAGAATTTGGGATAAACATATGTAGCCATGCCCCTACCTAAGAGCACCATTTCATTTAAGGTGTGTGTGTGTGTGTGTGTGTGTGTGTGTGTGTGTGCGTGTGTGTGTGTGCGTGCGTGCGTGCGTGCGTGCGTGCGTGCGTGCGTGCGTGCGTGCGTGCGTGCATGCGTGTGTGTGTGTGTGTGTGTTACACATTCATGCATGTATGGGGCTCTGTGTGTCTCTGCAGACTTGTGACTGTGTGTCACTTGTTAAACATTTGCTTAGCGGTGCTCCTAAGTCACACTGTCTACCTGTGTCTGTTTGCAGGTCTGTCTTCAAAGCGGGCATTTAAGGTGCATGTTAAGGAGAATGTGAAACAAACATCTACTTTCTACACGCAAACCTGTGCCAGCTTTATGGAACAGACTCTTTAAAGACACTAAACATCTGCAGACTTCAGTGTCTGAAATGTGATGATTTACTGCTTTTCTCACAAAGAAAGGATGGGGAAATGTCACCTTGTGCTAAATGTAAGTTTTATTGGCTAATTTTAACAATGTGATTCCTTCTGATATTACTGGAAATCTGCTGTAAGCTAGCTAGCTGACCTGTTATCAAATATACTGACACAACACTCACAATTATGCAACAGACTAACCAACTGTGTGCTGTTTGCATCACTTTACTTTTTAGTGGATTTTAAACATTTCATGTTTTCTTAATGCACATTTTGCACAATTTGCATGTGTTTTGGCAATTTTTAGTTTTTACATTTGCTTCGTTTGTGAAGCTGCAGCGTGTTTCTCATAATGGAAGTGTTTTATAACGCGTTTGCACCTGTCGGCCGCCGTAGAAAGTGATCGAATACACACATTGACAGTACTAATCTTGAATTATACTCTGAATTGAAACTACTCTAAAACACATGTCTGAACTACTGGTGAGGTCTGTAAGTTTGCACAGGCTGTAATAAATGTTAAAGAGCCGATGCAGTTAAATGTTATTGTAACAACTTCAACACCAGAAGTCTTGACATAATTACATTAAGACTTGTATCCAAGGGTGGGACTCTGACAAGGATTCCTGCCGTGGGTGGAGGACCCAAAAGAGCGATCTAAATATGTGGCATTCTTCACAAAGAACTCATTATTTAACGATCTGTCGTGGCGCCGTGCCCAAATACACTCTGGAACAAAGCTCAACAGTAACAGAATAACTGGGCTGCTCACAGCGGGCATCGCCATCATGGAAAAATAACATGACCTGGCTGTAAAAAACAGGTGTTACATCATTACAGCTTTCTAATCAGGGAATAGTTTTTGGAAGGAGGAACGAGGAAGTGGACTGCTTGTTGACATGGTGGCAATTCCATTATCCTAGAATCTCTTGATGTCTTTTTTTTATGGTTTTCGAAAGAATTGATTAACATTGTCACAAGGATGGAGATACCATATCGGAATATTTGATGGACCTCTTTATTTTTTATAACTTCCTCCCCAAAAATAAACAAACTTTCTCAGTTTTTCCACATTAACCTCCCATAGTGAATCACATTAACCTCCCATAATGAATCACATTAACCTCCCATAGTGAATCACATTAACCTCCCATAATGAATCACATTAACCTCCCATAATCAGCACATGACATGAAGACTTTTGGCTGCTGGAAATCTGACATTGTAGCAAATACAGTGAGAACATCTTGGACTTCTTCCTGCAGAATCTTACATTACATTTCTTGCAATAAGTTTGTGAGTTGGACTGGATATAGAAATAAAATACTGTTTTGGAACCAGCTGAAATGTGTCCATAGCACACATTCATGACTGTTATGTACCATATTGTGTTTTATGCAGAGTTTATGCACGGAGGCTTTTGTCAAACTGCATTTGAGAACTATTGTTAACTGAAAAAGGGGTTACTACTTAATTGTTCTATTGGCTGGCGCTCCAAGTCATTGCACTTGATAGTCTAAGGGGCGGGACATCTCCAAGCATGTTGACCAATCACAACAGAGCCGGCCAGCTAACCAATCAGAGCAGACTGGGCTCTGGTTTCAGACAGACGGTGAAAAGATACAGGCAGTATGAGAAAAATAAAGAGCTTTTTGAACATCAAAGCATGGAGACATGTCACAGTAGAGACACTAAATACAAATATGAACCCAAAAAGGAGCATAATATGCCTTCTTTAAAGACAAATGGGTCAATCTAAGGGACATACTGTTTGCTCTGCCTCCAGTCAATTATGGGATTTTGGACATTTGGTCACAGCCGCGTAGATAACTCAATTCAATCTCTGGCACACATGCAGTATGTTGAAACTGACCAATCTTGGAGCAAATTGGAAAACAACATCTCCAAAGATTTATTTTACATTATTTTTGCAACATTCAAGGGATCATTTACTGCGGGTGATTTGAGAATAAATGGTCCTGCCATGGCTCCATCCCAACAAACACACACGTTGGTTGGCTCTCGGGATGGGTGTGAGCGATCAGGGCCTCTATGGTGGCAGGCTGGTATGGAGCGGTTGCGTAAGATGCTGTTATGCTTGAAGCAAAGGAATCTGAGGCGAAGCTTGTGGTTGGCAAACTGCAGCCTCCAGGAACTGCAACACACTCAACTTGTTTTCCTCTAAAGCTCACCCCCTTTCTTTCCACCCAGGTCCCCCGTTACTCATCCTAGTTCCTGTCCTCTTGTTTTTCTTTCACATTTTTCTGTCCCTCTCGCCTTTGACGTCCCCTTTTCCATGTGTCCCTCTGTGAATTCTTCCCTCTTTATCTGTTACATTCTGCTGTTTCTTTTTCCTTCACCTCCGCTGGCCTTCAGACTTACTCAATAGCTGTGTCATCTCTTTTCACTTTCCAGCTTCCTATTCTCACCCTCATCCATCTCTTCAAGGTTCAAGGTTCAAGGTTCTTTATTGTCAATCTGACATAGCTACAGAGTCATTATGTAGTTGAAAATCTTATGTCACAGGCTTCTCCAACAATGCAACATAATAACATAATAACAATAAGAGCAAGAGCAATACAAAAAGAAAAATAGTTATAAAATAAAATAAAGTGATGATGTGGAATAGTGCAGTACGAGTCTATATACAAGTTATTGGAATGATATATATATATTAGGTATTAGATACATACTACTGAGTAGCAGATGAATGTTTGAAGTTGTTTCAAGAGTTCAATTTTTTAACAGTCTCACTGCCCGCGGGAAGAAACTGTCTCCGAATCTTCTTGTCCTTGCCAGGATGCTGCTGGGCTTTCTTCCCCTTTGTCTGTCTGATGTTTTTCTTGTTCTGACACTGTGTCTCTCCTAACCCCCCGCTGTAACCCCTGCTCCGCTAACATCTCCTTTCCCACCGTTCTCCTCGACTCCTTCTCTTCTTCCCAAACCGATTCATCCTCTCAACTATCAACCCGACAAAAAAGAGCACCAACAAAGTGAGATGTTTACGAAGGTCACAGAGAACTTTCTGTTCTGCATTAATACTTCTGTATCCTCATATTTCTTCTTGTGGTTTCAAGTAGAATTTGATTTATGCACGGGTTCCTGGCACTGACCAACCACCTATTTGAGAACTTGACTGGCATGTTGATGACATTTTTTTTAACAACACATACTTTCACAGTAGCTTTAAGCCTAATTTGTTCCCACAGATTTTTAAACCGCAATTGCTGACATTTAAAAAAAAGAAAAAAAGGACATATTCTGCTGATGTTCAGGTGTATATCAGTATGTAGTGTCTCTACTTTAAAGAGTTCTCTCCTGCTGATGTTCAGGTGTATATCAGTATGTAGTGTCTCTACTTTAAAGAGTCCTCTCCTGCTGATGTTCAGGTGTATATCAGTATGTAGTGTCTCTACTTTAAAGAGTCCTCTCCTGCTGATGTTCAGGTTCATATCAGTATGTAGTGTCTCTACTTTAAAGAGTCCTCTCCTGCTGATGTTCAGGTGTATATCAGTATGTAGTGTCTCTACTTTAAAGAGTCCTCTCCTGCTGATGGTCAGGTGTATATCAGTATGTAGTGTCTCTACTTTAAAGAGTCCTCTCCTGCTGATGTTCAGGTTCATATCAGTATGTAGTGTCTCTACTTTAAAGAGTCCTCTCCTGCTGATGTTCAGGTGTATATCAGTATGTAGTGTCTCTACTTTAAAGAGTCCTCTCCTGCTGATGTTCAGGTGTATATCAGTATGTAGTGTCTCTACTTTAAAGAGTCCTCTCCTGCTGATGTTCAGGTGTATATCAGTATGTAGTGTCTCTACTTTAAAGAGTCCTCTCCTGCTGATGTTCAGGTGTATATCAGTATGTAGTGTCTCTACTTTAAAGAGTCCTCTCCTGCTGATGTTCAGGTGTATATCAGTATGTAGTGTCTCTACATGTCTCCATGCTTTAATGTTCAAAAAGCTCTTTCTTTTTCTCATACTGCCTGTGCCGCAGCACCTCTTTTCACCCTCTGTCTGAAACCAGAGCCCAGTCTGCTCTGATTGGTTAGCTGGCCGGCTCTGTTGTGATTGGTCAGCCGCTTAGAGATGTCCTGCCCTTCATCACGTACAATGTGTTGGCGCCTTTGCAAACCATTAACATACACAAAAAACGATATAAAGGAAAGGGAACACCCCAAAAAGCATAATAGGGCCTCTTTAGCACTTAATGAGGACAAGGAAGTTTGGTAATTCTTTTTTAGGAAGACACATTTAAATGTCTTGTTATTCACACAAGACCACAAACCCAGCATGTAGGCTTCAGTATTCCAGGGTTTGTTTTAAAAAAAAATGTAAAGCCTTTTTTGCCTTATACAATTCTGGCATCTCACATGACGAATAAATATTCATCAGTTTCGTTTCAACTCTTTCTCCCTTTGATCGCGTCACTACAAGTTCAAATTGCTTTCACAACTGGAATACATTACTGTTCTTTTCCTGAAATACATTTCCTTTCTTTGGAAAAATGTCTCATGTGGCCTTGGGAAAACAGCCTGACCTCCAAAAGAGAACTGCAGTATTGTTGCCATGCCGGCCGAAACGTCACTGTTTTTATTCTGTTGTTTACTTCATTATATTTTTGTTTTGTTGTTGTTGTTGTTGTTTTGTTTCAACCATTTTACTCTGTAGCACTTTGAGTTGTGTTTACTCAAATGAAAAGTGCGCTTATAAATAAAATTGATTATTATTATTATTATTGACCGTTTGTCTCATGTGGCCTTGGGAAAACAGTCTGACCTCCAGAAAGAGAACTGGAGTCCTGACCGTCTGTCTTACCTATAAGTGAAGTCTGTCCCGGGGTCACTTTGCTGTGTTTGAGGATGAACTGGCACTGGGTGTCGGGGGGGAGACACTGGTCCAGCAGCAGAACGCCTGGAGAGTCTGTGGGAGTCGATGGATCCCTCCCTGCCCCCCCCACGCTGCTCCCCCCGTCCCGAATGTGGCTCATCTTAATGCTGAAGGGAAACTCGTGGCCTGAAAGAGAGGGTCAGGGTCCGGGGGTTAGAGGGTCTGGTATGGGCATCAAGTCAAGGGAGAAAATATGTATAATATTAATGAAATAAGATGATTTATGGGAAATGAGCATATGTCTGAAGCATTAACGTGAGGTTAAGTAGATTTTAAATATTTAGAAACATTAATATTTAATTATTATTATAGTTTACTTTTCTTTTTTTATATGTTTTTTAAGTAAGTCATATTTGAGTCATTATTATTATCATAATTGTTTTATTATTATTATTATGATTATTGATTGATGTCAGGTTAGCTTTTTACTTCAGCATTATTGTGATTTAAGACTTTTGTTGATGTTTTTGTGTTGTGTTTTTTTCGGACTTTCAATGTGGAAAATTAAAAACAACATTGGTAACAAAAGGAAGAAAATATGATTTAAAATTATAGCAGAATTTGTTCCATGCAGAAAAGAATCAGCGGTCTGTTGTTGGGGAATTCAGTGGGAACTACAGAACAAAAGATATGGTTAAAAAAAATGTCACGGAAATACCAATGTGTCACTAACTGCTGTGAAATGCTTCCAGATGTTCAGTTGTTGGTGGACTGCTGATGCTGTAGTAACCCCCGCTGTGTGTAATCTCTACATTAGTACTGACTGTTTTTTTAGCATCAACAGAAAGATGAGACAGGTTGTTTTTTGTTGAACTTTAATGAATTTATAAAAGAGTCTTATAATGAATCTAATCCTACACCACTGGAGAAGGAAAAGCATCGTAAAAGGAAAGGGAAATAGACTATAGTGAGTGGAGTATTTTTCTTTTAAATAGTCTGATAGTGTTTTTAAGGGAAGGTTTAAATAACAATATCTATGTCACGGGACTCACCAATCAGAGGGTACGGAGGGTCGTCCTTACTGGAACTCACCCACAACCTGTGATCTTTTTCACAGCCCTGGACCCAGAGAAGGAGAATCAGGATTAACAATATATAATACTTACATTTCAATGAAATTACTTTTCTGTGTCTTTCCGGATTGTGTCAAGGTACCTACAGGAAAGTACGTCTGGTGTAAGGAAACCACTAAAAATGCTTATATTACAAACAATCCTGATGTTATTGCAAATTATAATTAAAGAAAGGCTAAAATTGGTGACATTTCCCCCAAAAAACTTGTGTTACAAACTGTTCTAAAACATTATAAGTCGTGGGAAAAAGTCAAAATTCCATTACTTTGTTAACATGCTTCACGCTTTGTTAGGACAGTCTAAAATTAATACTTTCATCTATTAAACGTAGATGTTAAACAAAGCCTATTTTATGTCCATACTCGTACTGTGCTCAAAATTAATTTCTTTAAGGCAGTACAAAGAAAACATTCCTTCATCCAAACAAAGTTAAAAACAATTCCAAACCTTATTTGTACCGTGCCAAAATGAATAGCTCTGGTCGAGGCTACTTTAAATAACATCTAAGCGCAGTCACTTGTAATCCAGTTGAGCATCAGCAGCGGTCTTTACTCACCGAAATGCCAAACTGCAGCAGAGCCATGCGGATGACATCAGAGGTGCTGTCAGTGTGGCTGACCGCAAGCGTTTTGGCCTGTTGGAAAACGTTGTGGACACATTAGGGAAATTTGTAGTTGGTTGTGTGTTACATAAATAGCAGCACTCGATGATGTCATTAATTATCCACTTAATGTGGACTTGGAAAAAAATCACAAAGGAAAGAGAAAAAAGCTTACATATGCACAATTTCCAATATCCTTTGCAAAGATCTTCAGAGGGATGGTCTTGGGGTCGTCCTTCTCTTTTCCCTCAAGTATCCGACTGTAGGGAAACACAAATAAAGAGGTAAATAACAGTGTTACATTGAATATAAAATCATAATACAAGTACAAGTGACCAATCCAGCACTGTTATATAGTTGGCAGGCAGTTGGAGTAAAACTAATGTATGCATTCGGGTAAAAAGCATGTATTTATGAGAACTGTGTGTATTTTCATTTATGTGGAAATTGTTCTTTTTACATCATTTCTGTTCCAACCTGATCAAATATTTCCTCCCCTTATGACAAATGTGATTTGCAAGCGGAACTACTGCACCAAAACAAACCATTGCAGAGTCAAAACCAATTACCTTTTGATGAGTGCAAACCACTTGTCCTTGTGCTCTTCGGAGCTAAAGAGGATAAAAGATAGGGATTAAAAAACATAATCATAGGAAATCATGTAAAAAGCAATTGTCTGTTTTTCTCTGTTATGTAACTTCCCCTGGTTTGAACCGCAGACTTCACCCCGAGCTGCGACTGGATTCTTTCTCATGCGAAATGTAATGAGTGTGTGAATGAGTTTGAATGCATGTATGGCAAAGAGGAAGCTGCAAAGATATATATGAATGTATATGTCGTGCATGTGCTTCAGTCTAACTGCAGTTTGATTGATTGTCTTGTCTTTTGCACATAAGGGTTTAGGGATTTTGGGTTGGCGTGTTCAGTTATCAGTTCCCTTTACGATGTGCATTTGCAATCTCAGAACAAAGTGTACTCTTGTTTGAATTGACTCAGAGAGGCATCTTAGAAAATATGTTTAGTATGTCTGCTAAGAATAGTTGTCATGCAATGCCAGCAGACATAATGAACACAGTTATATAAGAGGAAATTAAGTTGTCACTCTATTGTTGTGAAAAAACACTGTGCAATCTTTACAATTGATCGTTGTTATTACTGGCTCCTATTCCCTTATATTACTTTAAAATGCTGCTACTTATTATAAACACATTTATACACAGATTTGTCACGTTTTTCATGGGTGCAAACCCCACACTCAGCTCTGCTGCTCATCCCACAAATGCATGTTCGTCACAAATGTGGCACCATTTGAAAGGTAAGAAAACAGGCTTTCCAACGGTATAAGATTTATTGCCAAGAAGCATTGTTACAACAAAGATATAATCTACCAAACACAGATTTCCTTACTTTTTGTGTTACGTTTATTTTACCTTGGACTTATTTCATTTATCTTATTATTAGCCTTTCTGTATTTAATATGCTAGTCTATCTTTTTTTGCCTTGTATTTGCACTTTCCCTTTTACTGTAACAATGTACATTTCCCCACTGTAGGACAAATATTTGAACTAATTAAGATAACATTCAACAACATAAATACAGTTCAGGCATTTCTATTTTTGAATGATAAGCCTATTTTGTAGTATTGATGTGAATGTTAGTACCTGAAGGAGGCCACACAGTTGCAGGTGGGCCAGCCCATGACGAAGCTCCTCTCTGGGTTGGTGCTTCCCTCACACACCTCCTCCAGGCAGCTGGCCGTCCACATCTCACACACTCGGACCTGGGCCTTCACTTTGAAGTGAGTGGAAGACCTGCAGATGACACAGTGTAATGCATTACATCATTATGATCAATAAATCTGTCTCAGTCTGAAAATATCTAGTGAAAATCATGCCAAAAACCCCCACACTTTCCCATTCGAATCTTGACATTACATTACATTACATTAGACATGTTAGACGCTTTTATCCAAAGCGACTTACATACATTCAGTACTGTGGACAATCCCCACAGGAGCAATTTGGGGTGAAGTGTCTTGCCCAGGGACACAACGACATGCTGACTGCAGTGGGACTCAAACTTGCTACCCCCTGATTCAAAGTTCAGCGCACTATCCCACTGAGCCACAGCCTCCCATCTCCCATTGACATCTCCATATAGTTTTTGCTTTTTTGTGACCAACATTCCAAAACCTCAAAGATATTCAATTTAATATAGTGACTTAAAAACAGACGAAGCAAAAACATCAGCATCCTCACATTTAAGATGACACAACCAGTACAATTGTGGATTATGTTGCTTTATAAATACCTAAAATCATTGATGAGTTATTAAAATGAATGTGGATTAATTATCTGTTGATCAACGCATGAATCAAATATTATATTTAGAAGACCTTTTTGCAAAAGAAACCCACAAAAGCTTTCCTTTTTAAAACATGCCATAAAAACCCAACATCGTTATTTAGGGGTTCCACAAGGAACGCACTTGGATCCTCTAACTTTTAATTTTCTTCATGAGTCATTCTTCCACAAGCCTCTAACATATGTCAGTCTTTCAAAAGAGCTTTACTTGGATTAGAATTATTAAAAGATGCAGCTATTTCCAGCATTTTAAAACAGGCATGCTCAGTAAAAGTGTATTTACACACCACTAGATCCCTGATTATAGAGGGACACAAGTACAAATGCTCACATGTGGCATTACAAACACACACTCTCCCTGCTATTACACAGATATAAAAAGGCACACAAACACACACATCAATTAACTTTTCCCTCTCGCAAACACACACACACACACACACATACACACATACCAAAACACATTCCTCAAACTCACCCTGTGTTAAGCCACAATGTAATGGCCAATTATAGCGAATAGTCTCTGTGCTGCAGGGGTCAGCTCCACCCACTGTCACATGACTCCTAGGATTACTAAGTAGATTTACTCAAGTACTGTACTTAAGTACAATTTGTTGGTACTTTACTTGACTATTTCATTGTTTTTGCTACTTTGTACTTCTACCACAACTCAGGGGTTAATCGTGTACGTTTAGTTACTTCACAGATTTGTATTAATGATGTAAAATATAATCAACACACAAATCAGACTTTAGTCACACCTGGACTAAAATTCACAAGCTACCCTGCAGTATACAAAGTCATTCAAACTAGCTGCACCTTTACCAGCTTTGAAAACACTTTAATGATCAATCATTATAAAACATATCATATCTATTATTCTGAAATGGACCAATCTGCACAATGACTACTTTTACTTTGGTATATTTTGATGCTAATACTTTTCTACTTTTGATCGCAGGACTTTCACTTGTAACCCTGTATTCCTTCTACTTTTACTTAAGTACAAGATCTGAGTAATTTGTCCACGTCTGTGTGTGTACGTAACTGCACGAAAGTGTGTGTTTGTGGACTTGTGTGTGCTATTTAATGGTCTATTTTTGAACATGTGTGTGTGTGTGTGGCAGTTTGTGGGTGGGTAGCCCCATTCTGTAGGCCAGTGCGGCTTTGATCTGAGCCAGGCTTCATATGGATTTAATTGACTAGGAAATAATTATATACTGGGGAGAAAATAAGGGAGGGAGAAGTTAAGAAGCAGGGGAGTAAGGGGAAGGAAACTTTAGGGGAAAGATAGGAGAGAGCTACATCCTCTACACATGTTTTGCCCATTTCTGTTCAGAGACACAACTATGAAAGGTTGGTGCTTTGTTTTTCTAATTTGCTTCAGTCTGTTTTTTCCTGTTTATGTGTCTGCATTTTCCTCTCACTCACACAACCACATAAACACACACTGCTTCATCCTCCAGCACAGAAGGAAACTTACTTTGCCTTGGCGACGAGCAGCGTGTCGGTGAAGAGGAAGAGGTGTCTCTCCTGGGTCTGCAGGCCCGTCTTCAGCTGCGTTTGAATATGACCCAAGAATAATCTGCGTGGACACTCAGCCAGGAAGGCCTGGACCAAGGGACAGGACTCCGGGCTGACTGGCGTCAAGCAGTTTTCCCTGGGGAGAGACAAAAGAATGAAATACACTATTAGACACAAAGGAACATGTGGCCTGGATGCGTTTAAAAGCGTGTCTCTAAAAACCTTTTGGATGTGGTTGGTTGAGTTCAAATTCAAGTCAGGTACATTTTATTTTTACTGGGCAAATATTACAAGTCCCAAAGTTCCTTTTAACTGGGGCTTTACAGTGTATTCATTCATGCATGGGGGAGAGAAACTTAAAACAAACTGGCACAAAAGAGATACAGAGGGACAAGACGTGAGGCTTAATTACATGACATGTCATTTGTTAGACGCTTTTATCCAAAGCGACTTACATACTCAATACTGTGGACAATCCCCACAGGAGCAATTTGGGGTGAAGTGTCTTGCCCAGGGACACAACGACATGCTGACTGCAGTGGGACTCGAACTTGCTATCCCCTGATTCAAAGTTCAGCGCACTAAATTCAGCGCACTATCCCACTGAGCCACAGCCTCCTTAATCTCCTGGTGGACGAAGATACAGATTAAAAACATCTGGAATGACGTACAGAGAGACAGAATGAGAAAGAGAGAAGAGACCTACACCTCAAAAACTACTGAGTTTTATACAATACAGCCGCTTGCTAACCAGTGAATATGCATAAAAACAACAGGTCATCACCAAGACATGTTATATTAACTAAATAAATTCCAGTTAATATTGAGGGAACGTATTATAAAGTGATTAAACTAGGTGTAACGTAATCCTGAATAACCTTAAACATCTTGTCTTAGCTTTATTCAGTCCAGTGTTTTTCCTGTCCCGTATTAGCACCAGGGGGTTTTCCAATGTCCTCCACACTGTGGTAATACGATTCAGCAGCATGGAACAAAAAAAGAAAAAACGAGGCCCATGTTGTGGTGAACCAAAATTGGAAAAGGCTGTAAAAAGGCCAACAGGTCCGAATAGCTTGTGCAGCTAAATCCAACAGTCCAAAAGTGGAATATTTACCTTGTTATTTCCTGTATTCACGTCACTGGTTCCTCACAGTTTGAACCACACATAATCAAGTAAATGTTTGACTTTCTGACCAGTAATGCACTCATTTGACTGCAAATGTGTTATTATTTGCATGGAGCTGCACAAAGATGGCTCTGTGAATGTAAACAGTCACAAAGAGCTGAGATTAAACTAGAGGAAGCTCTGTCGTGCGGCATCAACAGAATAAATGACAAAGTTAACTGCCATTTTATTTTGAAATGAACCATTCATCCAAAAACGAAATGAACCATTCATCCAAAAACATTGTCTGTCCTGTAAAGCCCCAGTTAAAAGGAACTTTGGGACTTGTGATATTTGCCAGTAAAAATAAAATGTACCCGACTTGAATTTGAACTCAACCAACCACATCCAAAAGGTTTTTAGAGACACGTTGTATCATCCTATTTGTTTTTTCCTCCTGAACTTTGGAGAAATACTTCCTTGTTTTTACTACAGACACAAATATCTTTGATTTCTGATTTAATTAAAATGGTCTATCTTGTTTCCTTGCTGCAACATGTGCCGCTGATAGACAGATGAAAACAGAGGGGGAATTTGTGGAGGAAGAGGAAGTAGTTTGAGGGCTCCATCCTTTCCTGTTTACCCTTCACAAGCAGATAAAAGTTCCTTAAACACAACACACACATCATTTTTCTATCTCCGTCTCTACCTTTCTGTTCCCTTTTCATGTACACAAACATCCACACACCCTTTCTGCTCTCTCACGAAGGTACACACCCTCTCCATAACATATTCTACTTTCCGTTTTTACTTCTCTTACGCATGCACATCCATAACACTCCACAAGAACACACACAATATTCTGAGTAACCCCATAACAAAGAATTCAGTCCAAGTTTTTCTGGGATGAAAAGAAAAGGCTTGGATCCTCTCATACATTGCAAGTGATTGGTTACGTAATTAATTAACGAAGAACAGAAGGCTATGCTGGAGTGCTTCCATTTCTGTCCCTCTTTGTGTGTCGGCCAAAAATAAATCCAAAAAAGGGGGTCTGAGAGAATTCAATTCAAAGAGATGAATGTAGCCACTTAAGCCTCGATGCTCGATGGGACACGTCGCCCTGCGGGAGTTTAAAACGTATTGGAGATGTGTCCGAGACAGAGGCGGTTGAAGCATAGAACGATATGTCCGATTCCGTTTGTCAGCAATACTTAAGGACATGACGCCATGTGGCTTTAAAGCTTACAGTTGCAAAACAATCAGCTATTGTTCCACGAGGAAAGAAAATACTTCCCATGTGGTTTACTGGGAAATGATTTTACCCCACTTTGAAAACATTTACATAACTCATACACCATTTAACTGCAACAAATTAAGCTTTTCTTTCTTCGTCAGGGGGCAGAACAACAATGCAAATCTTCATTTTTGGTCACAATTCCTTCAGATTAGTGACATTCATCTGTATTGGACCCTTTATTCTTTGTCCAAATTTCTCCAAAAAGGTTGATAAAGCTTCAAATTAGTCATCTACATCAATGATATGTGACTCACCTAGTATCTAAGCTCAGCGTCCAGTGGCTCTCTCACTATTGGAGTAACTACTCTCTCAAAGTCTTGCCAAATGCCTCTGCAGGACGACGGCACCGGGGTAAAGGACCACCCCAGAGGGACGTTTGGAGGGTTTTGGGCTGCTTGATTAAGCTGCAGTGGGATTAACACAGTGCAAAACTCACATTGAAATGTTCCTATTGTCCATTCAAATCAGGGAAATGCTCCTGTCATAGGAGCCCACACTCGCACACACCAACACAAACGGTCCAACCTTCCTCTAAAGCCCCTTTCACATCTCTCTGCCCCCCATAAAAAGACAACATCTTCCGTATTCACACCACATACCCTCCCTCCTGAATGAGAGATTGACAGCTGAGCCGGCCGCCCTTTGAATCTGACGGATGAGCAGCTAATGGCTCCATTGTACATCATGTGATGTTGATAAATTGAGTCCTTAGCCGGCCCGCCGTACATGGCCACCTTTGTGGAGGCACGGCAGCGTGTGAGGAGAACTGTTGACTTTCTGAAACACAATGAGAGGCCGGTGTACAATGAACCACACAACGACGCATACTAATGTCCCAGCATGAATAATTAAACTGCACCGGACATGATTTGTATATAAAAGGTTGATTAGGAAGGGATCACAAAGTAGGGCAAGATGACATGTCTGTTTGATTTATACAGCCGGAAAACACAAATTGATGATGGGATAATATTTTTCAGATAAAGCCTGATATTTGACTTGCATCTTCATTTGCAACATCAACAAGGACACATATTTAACACAAGAAACAAGAGAAAAGACCATTTCCGTAACAACCGAGACGGCTCTCTATCATTTGACCCTAAATTAGAAGCTTTGTGTTCTTTGCCGACATGATCAAAACACTTTCATCTCTCAACACACGTCTTTCTCTCTAGTTTTTTTCTTCTGCTTTCATGATTAATTAAAGCCCTTGTGATTATAATTAGAAATCAATATATTTTACTAAACTGTTAACGCCACCTCAGCTGTGAAATGGTCAATACTGATGGAGCACACTGACTCCCTGAGGGCAGTATTGACTCGATTACATAAGTGTCCATCTGCTCTGCTTTTGAACAACACAGAGAAGGACTCTTGTCTGTCCGTGGTTTGTTTATTTGAGTTTTAGTATCTGTATACTCAGTTTGTCTGCAAATGATTGTCCTCTAATAGAAAATCTGACTCAAAGACCGCACACTTTACGTTTATTTTCAATCAAAGTCAGACTAAGAGGTGCTGACGTTCATCTTGTTCCTTAAGTAAACTCTGATTGGGTTAAATCGCCATACAAGAGGCGAGTCAGAGATGTGACAGTGATGTGTGTGTTTAAAAGTGTGTGTCTAGGAGCATTTGTAGGAAGAGAAAGTGAGAAGATGTGTCTATTCTGTTTGCGAGTCCCCCGGTGAACTTGTACGTGTTTGTTTCTGCATGAGGAGGTTTGCATCACCAGTAGGTTGACCTCTTTCTGTCTGTGAGGTAAAAGCTTTCCTGACAAGCATCTATTGACAGCGCAGTGTGTGCGTGCGTGTGTTAGAGAGAGAACAAAATATGTTAACATGCACACCCGGGGTCCGTACCATCTCCTAAATCCACAGTGGACCGTTTGTTCATCACCGGAAACAGCTTCAAAGACTTTAAAATACATCTCTGCAGAGACAGGTGATCGATGAATTCACTATTACAAACAGTGAATTTCAAATGACGCATAACTTTTACGGAAAATCCAAAGTAGATTTCATCCCTCTGCCTACACTGAGTGGTTGACAGGAGACAGACCTATACAAATGTAGAAACAGTGAAGTAGGAAACATAAAGCAGACTACCAGATCTCTTAAATCAAGCTTCAACCTTCTGTCTCCTGTTTCCACCTGACTCACAGCCAGATCATTTCCATAGACAAACTATAATGTCACCCCTGGCCGACACACAATGCTCTCTATAGGGAAACACACGCATATGCATACAGGGAAAAACCCACACAGGATGAGGTCAGAATATTGAAATTGGCTTGGGAGTTTGGGGGCATGATGTCCTTAGCATGAGCTCTTTATTAAAACCAGGAAATGTGTTCTTGTACTGTATGTGGACGAAAAATGTCCTCAAACAACCAAATAAATCTCACATAAATCACCACAACTAAGACATATTCTTTCCTTTTCTAAGAGCAGGTGAGGACTTGGGTTTCAGGTTAATTAAAATGGTTAAATAAATACAGTTATATCTTCACTAGATTACTAACATGTGTCCGTGTACTTGGGACCAAGAGGAATGGCCAGAGAAGTTGCTGTACGTGTCGCCTTGTGGTGACACAATGGCTGATATTGAGTGAGAGGTCAGGGCAGTCAGCCAATCACATGTGTTTATGCTTTATGGTGCAGCCACCTTCCTCCCTGCAGTATAGATTTCATTGCTGGAGGAGGAGGGGGCCTACACTTCAGCTTCAGCCCCTAATACTGTAAGCCTGGAGGCTGTTAGACTTCTGCTGGATGAAGTGTGTGTAAGTGTGTGTATGTGTGAGTGTGTGTGTGTGAGTGTGTGGAGGTGATGTAAGACACTGAGCTGAAGGCCAGAGAGCCTTTCAGCACCTCTTGGCCTGATGGGAAATGCAGGGCAGAGGAAGCAAAGAGTCTCTTTAAAGATATATGAAAGGAGAACAACTCTCAACTCAACTCTCAGGCATTCAGTTTATACTCCCAGCTACAGTAATCCAAATGTATGATGAATAAAGTCATCAAATAAGAACTTAAAAACTGGAACTAAAGTATATTGGGTGATAAAAAATATGCCAAAACCACTGCCAAGTACTGCTGGCAGAACTGATGTATCCAATAAACTGTAATTATAAGACGTTAGCGTGTTATAGTTCTATATACAACAGTAACCAAAACATGGAGATGATCTAAAAGCTTTAAAATGGGCCCTATTGTGCTTTTAGGGAGTTTCCCTGTCCTGTAGTGTGTTATATACTGTAGGTTTTGGTGCATGTAAATGGTCTGAAAAGGCTAACATCCATGTATTTCCTCCAGAATGAGTTTCTCTCCCACAGAAATTCATGGAAAAGTAGAACTGTGCAAGTTTTCCTTTTGTATAAAGCACCACAATAGTATTATAGTACAATATAAGAGTTGAATTCCCTGCAATCGGACTGTTAGGTATGCACACCTTGCTAAATCAATGCTTAAACTTAGAGAGATCACAATTATGTTTTCTAAAAACTATAAAAGGTAAAAT